CACTGCAAACTACAAAAAAATGTGCCAATCTATCCTCCTTTTTACATACTACAAGATTACAGTCATATACCCAAAATAAAATAAGATTTATGAAGTTTTATGATGGGGGAGTCAAATTTTCACGGGGGAGTCAGATTTTCATTATGTGCACATTTTTATTTTTCTTATTTTTTCATTTGAATTTTCACTGCAAACTACAAAAAAATGTGCCAATCTATCCTCCTTTTTACATACAACAAGATCACAGTCATATACTCAAATAAAATAAGATGTATGAAGTTTTGTGGGGGGGGAGTCAAATTTTCATGGGGGGAGTCAGATTTTCATTATGAAAATCTGACTGGGGAGTCACATTTTCATAATGAAAATCTGACTGGGGAGTCACATTTTCATGGGAGTCAGATTTTCATGTTACAACGGTCCCGCTAGCGCTGTCACGAAACACGTTTGGCAAGTCAACAAATCGAACAATAATTAATTCTGCTTTGACAATAAAATCCCGCTGTGCCAAAATCTATCAATATATTGACGGAGACCACGTCAGCCCTCGAGGTGTGTTAATAATAAATAAGGCTGGTAACAGCAGTGAATCGGACGAGTTTTTCACCCTGAGTTTTATAAAGCAAACGTCACTATGCACTCACCTATTGTGAATTTTCTTATTCAAGATAGTTTACTATTGTGCGTGTGCAAATTTGCTTTGGATTTCATGATAAAAGTGAAGTTTTTAAAAGACATCCATTTTTTCCCCAGGGCGTAAATTAGACCAGATTTTGGCTAAGAGCTAGAACTGAGACTGTGACCTTTAACAGGAAGGAACTCACAACAACTTGACGTCCTCAATTTCAGTGGAGCAAGTCAACATTATAATGAATGCCCATACAAACTTACACTTCTTACCTATTCGGGTATGACAAATGCACCTTAAGATAAACTCGTACAAAGAGCTTCAAAAGCGTATATAATAAATCAAAATTTTACTGTCAAAGAGCTGGCCTGTTTATTATAGAAGCAATTGTTTGCTGTGGTATATGAGTCCCCTCTCCTCTAAAACAGCGACAGAAAAGGCAATGCGTTGGTGTGTACCTTAATACACCTGTCTTTGCAGCGACAAGGATGCCTGGACAGCTGGGTGTTTAGTTAGTGGTTACATGTGTACACGTATGTGCACGCTCCTTGCTTTCTTACAGCAGCAGCCTCTTGGTTCATTTCGACTCTAGTGTATGAAATGGTGTTAATGTTTTGTAGAGCAGTGATATTTTTGTTGCGTTAAATTTGGCCTACATTGTTATAACTTAGGTTAATGACACTATATATAGTTTCGCTGTCGATTCTTCCCACCTTTTAACAACAGAGCCTGCACTTTGATCAGTTAATAATTTCACTAAAGCCTAGATTACATTGTAGGCTGATCCTAAAGATTATTTCTGTCGTTTTCTAAAACTGCTATTGTTAAGTTCATTTCGATTTTTCTTAGCGTTTTATGGACAAAAACGCCACACCGACAAATGTCAATTGAAATGTCTGGACAAAAAGATAACCGAGACGCGACGAACCCGGCCATTTGTTATCCTTGTACCCTTGCCAAAAATAACGATAATAAACCGTAATATTATTTCTGTGCCCTCCTGCCCTTTGGTCAAGCCATGGTTTCTACGATGATATTACGTCACAAGGAAATACAATAACAATCACATGGTGACAGCGTTTCTAGGGCTGGTCAATATGTTCAGGGGTCAACAAGGTCACTTGAGTTACGGCCTCGATAGTTCTCAAGCGGAAACGATACACACATGATTTAGCGTCGACCCCATGTCCCTTGAAACGACACTCTGGATGAGCTACTTGACCTGCAGAACTTACCAGCTTCATACAGTGTTTAAAGTGTGGTCTTTTTCTTCCGTGGTAGCCACTTTCAAGCCTGCCTGGCTATTATAGGGCTGTGGGAAGTATGGGTTGTGGGGGGGGGTGACTGAACCGCCCTTTTAG